TTATAGCACTTTAAATGTAATTTCATATCATACTTTATATGGTATATTCTGATCCTTTACATTTACACCCTGACTCTGGTCAAAATAATTTTTAACAGACAATGCACAATTTTCTTAAATGAAATCTCAATAATATAAAATTTCTGGCCTCAATCAAACAAGGGTACACATTAGTTAGATGACAGAACAACAAAAACAAAAGGCTTTGCTCTTTCAATTTTAAACATATCAGTTATTTGCATGCTTGCCAGGGAGACTTATAAATAAAGAACTAGAAAAGAATGTGGGAAAAACTTATCTGGTCTGTGACACAAAATTTCCTGAGGTAAGGTAATTTTTAGGAAAGAATGTAAGAAACCAGTTGAAAAACAAAATTAATGTCAGATTAGACACCCTCATGGCTCATGGAACATTGGGTTCAGACAGTACATAGAAAGTTCTCACCTCCACAGTGGACAACACTTATCCCTGGACTTAGCACTGATCCTATCCTGTCTAACAAATCTTAAAAGTCACACTGAAAAGGATCAAACTGTTTCCAATTACCTTGCTTGTGTCCCAGAGAAAAATTTAAGAACATTTACAGGAAAAAAAAATATCCAGCACTTACCTAGGTAAAATTCATATATCAGGCATCCAGTCCAGAAGCATCAGACAAATAAAAGACCAGTAAAATACTACCCAAAATAAGGAAGTAAATAAATGAATCAAATCCAACCCAGAACCAACAGAGATGTTAGAATTTGCGGACAAGAACGGAGAAAAAATTATCATACCTGTATTCTATGTGTTCAAAGTTAAGTAGGAACATGGGAGATATAAAAAATGTTCAAACAGAAATTCTAGGGATCAAAAATGACAATGTGTGAGATAATAAACATACTGAATGGGATTAATAGAAGATTCAACACTGCAAAAGGGAAAATTAATGGCAGATAGACAGTGCAGAAGTAAATTTGAAGACAAAGTGATACAAAAAATACTACAAATGAAATACTGAAAGAAAGAAAGAAAAACTTCTAAAACAAAAATACAGCTTCAAAAAGGTTTTGGACAACGTCAAGTGACCTATGTGTAGTTGGAAGCACAGAAGAAGAGAAGACGGGCCAGAAAAATAAATTTGAAGAAATAACGCCTGACACTTTTTCAAATTTGACATATACTGTAAACCAGGTAGTAAGTATTTTAGGCTTCAAGGGCCTCATAATCTCTGTTTCAACCATTCAACTTTGCTATTGTGGCATTAAAACAGCCATAGATAAT